ATTTCTCTTTGTTCCCCTGTTTTCAACACTCTTATGCCTTTTCTGGCTTTAATGGAGCATGCTATGATTCTAACTTCTCCTTCTCGCTTTCTCAGCATATCATAGACTTAATTTTAATTTTTTAGAGTTTGTATTTGAGTTTTCAATATACATTTGCAACTAATCTACATTAATTTGCTGATAGTTCTGTACCACTTTTGGGGTAGTATAAGTACTCTCAATCCCTCTTATAAAAGTACTTATAAAAGTACTCTCAATTTCTCTATCACATCCCTTATATAATTGCTGTCATTTATTTACCTTACTTGTCATATGTAATCAGCCAATACACTGTTGTTATTATTACTAACAGACTATTATGTGTTCAATTAATTAAAAATAACAAATATTACTTAATACCTTATACTCAATACTGTATTTCTTCTTTAGTGCTCTTCCTTTCTTCATATATATAAAAATTTTCAACCTAAATGATTTTCCTTCTCTCTGATGGATGACCTTTCAACATTTCTAGCAAGGTAAGTATGCTGTTATAATTTTAAATTCTTTCAATTTTTGTTTGTTTGAGAAAAATCATTTCTCTTTTACTTTTAAAGAGAAATTTATCTGGATTCAGAACTCTAGTTTTTTTTTAACCCTCTAAACATTTCATAATTTCTTCTTTTTTTGATGCTTTGTTCACTTTATTAGTCCCCCAAATTTGGAGTGCATAGTCACTATTTTTCCTCTAACATGTTAAGTTTTACTTTTTAAATTTTTTAATTTATTTTTATTTATATATAACAGCAGAATGCATTATAATTCTTATTACACATATAGAGCACAATTTTTCATATCTCTGTTTGTATACACAGTATATTAAAACCAATTCATATCTTCATACCTGTACTTTGGATAATAATGATCATCACATTCCATCATCATTAATAACCCCATGCCCCCTCCCTTCCCCTCCAACCCCTTGGCCGTATCTAGAGTTCCTCTATTCCTTCCATGCTCCCTATCCCTATCCCACTATGAATCAGCCTCCTTATATCAAAGAACACATTTGGCATTTGTTTTTTGGGGGATTGGCTAACTTCACTTAGCATTACCTTCTCTAACTCCATCCATTTACCTGCAAATGCCATGATTTTATTCTCTTTTATTGCTGAGTAATATTCCATTGTGTATATGTGCCACATGTTCATCAAACAAACTCTTCTCAAGTTTAAGAGTCAAATAAACCTTTGGTTTTGACTTTCTATAATTTGAATATGATATGAGTAACTCTAGTTTTTGGCATTTATCCTACTTAGTTTTTTTCTGAATTTCCTTTGTTTATGGACACAACACCTTTTGTTTTATTTTATTTATTTTTATATGGTGCTGAGGATTGAACCCAGTGCCTTACACGTGCTAGACAAGCACTCTACCACTGAGCCACAGCCGCAGCCCTTCTCTGAACTTTTTGATTCTATGGTTTGGTGTCTCTCATTAATTTTGGAAAAATCTCAGTCACTGGAATTTAAACCTCTTTTTTTTTTTGCTCTTCTCTTTTCCTTCTTATATTCATATTATATTCACAATATACCTGCCATATTTTTTAAATATTGTGTTGTATTGGCTTTTTATTTCACTACTTTTTTCTCTTTGTTTTTCAGTTTGAGAAGATTCTATTGATATAACTTGAAGCTCACTGATTGTATGTGTATGCATATGTGCGTGTGTATTACTGGGACTTTCATGCAGGGGTAGGGTGCTTTACCACTGAGCCACAATCTCAGCCCTTTGTATTTTTCTATCTATCTATTTATTTATTTATTTTTGAGATAAGTTACCCACGCTGGCCTTGAACTTGTAGTCCTCCTGCCTCACCGTTCTGAGTAGCTGGAATTATAGGCATGTCCACCATTGTCGCAGTGTGGCTGGGCACAATTCACGAGCCACTTATCAAGCAGAAATGAACTTTATTTTTAGAACACACATTCCACTCTTCAGGAATTCCCTCAGACCCCAACTGCCACCACAGGCTTCCCACAAGCGTCTCAACCCCCCACTCCTCCTGCTCTTGAGGCCAATTGGCTGGGTCGCATGGGCAGAGCTAAAAGAGTCCCCCAATGAGCAGCTCCGTGGTCTGAGAAGGCAGGGAAACAGCCCAATGAGTATCACCACAGAGGATCCAATCAGCTGGCAGCTGAAGGTTTGCTGGGGCCATGGTGAGCCAATCAGCTGGAAGTTTGCTGGGGCTGCTGTGAGCCAATCAGCTGGAAGTTTGCTGGGGCCCCTTAGGCTATGACTCTCAACACACCATGCCTGGCTCAAGGTCACTGATTATTTCCTTGGTATTCTATAAAAAGTATTCTTAATTTTGTTGCAGCATTTTTCCTTTTTATTTCTAACAATTCCTTTTTTTTTTTTTAAATTTCTACATCTGACCTTAAATTTCCTGTTTTCTTGTAAATTATCCACTTTTTCCATTCTCTTAGTACATTTATCAGTTCTTTTAAGGTCCCAGTCTGGCAATTTTAAACATCTCCTATATCTGAATTTGGTCATGATGTTTGTTCTGTCCCTTCAGACTATGTTGTTTGCCTTTTTTCAGGCCTCAAACCTGTTTTATTTTAATCCCAAAATGATGCATCAGGTAAATAAGGCTGAAGTTAATAGGCCGTTCCTTATAAGTATTACTTTGAACCAGTTGGGAGTTAGGCTGTCTAAATTACTTTACTTATGGTATTAGATGCCAAACTTTCCTCTAGCATTTTACTTCTATATATCCTCCTTTTTTGTTGTTCTCTCTGGGAAATTCATCTTAAATAGAGTTCTATGGCTTTCAGTTCTTAACAGCTAATATAAACTCAAATTATCCAAGCCCCCTGTAATACTGGTGGTAAAATGTGAAAAGCAGAAGCATTCAACATTTCTCTGATTAGATGTCATACCCTTCATGGCTTGGATCTTAGGGCTGTGGTTTTTACAAGTGTTTTACAGCTTCCTCCTCACCTTAGAAAGACAAGAAATCTCAAGGGTGCTGGAGTTGTATTTTTCACTTCCTCCACATCAAAGGTTATAGGGTGTGGAGTTTTAGTATATTTTTTCCTCAATGTTAATTAGGTTATGTTAAAACCAAGTTATTTATGGTGACATAGTTTGCTTTGAGGGTAAGCTTTTCTTAAAAGAATGGATCAACCAGGGCATGTTTAAAAATATTATTTTTTAGCTGGGCATGGTGGTGCATGCCTGTTATCCCAGTGGCTCAGGTGGCTGAGGCAGGAGGATCACAGGTTCAAAGCTAGTCTTCTCAATTTAGCAAAACTGTAAGCAACATCGTGAGATCCTGTCTCAAAATAAAAAATAGAAAAAGGATTGAGGATGTGGCTCACTTGTTAAGTTCCCATGGGTTTTATCCTTGGTACTAAAAATTGAAAAAAAAAAATACTTTTCCCTTCAACCTGCAACAAGCACAAGAGAAATTGTCTCATATATTAACACTGAGAACCTGGTAGGATTCCTAGAGATAAAATTCATGAAAGTATAGTAGTAAAGTAAGATGGTCCCCTGGAATTTTTATCAAGCTATGCCCACAGTAATTCTCCTATATTAATAAATTACCTTTTAAATGTGGTACCACGGTCCAACTGTGGCTTCTGGTCTCCATAACATGTGGCTTTCTGTCTTTACCTTTTTCTCTAGTTTTTGGAATAGTGGTGCCCTGTGATCACAATCTTTAATGGATCAAAAAATGTTGGTGCTTTTTTTTTTCCTTGTTACAAAAAGAGGAATAGGGCTGGGATTGTGGATTAGGAATAGGGCTAGCATGTGTGAGGCACTGGGTTCAATTCTCAGCACCACATATAAATAAATGAATAAATAAAGGTCCATCAACAACTAAAAATATTTTTTTTAAAAAAAGAGGAATAATATCTTCCAAGGTTCTTTACAAAATCCAGAAGCCTCTCAGTCACTTTCCTGTATGGCATAAGTCTAACTAAAGTAGTCTTTATTTTACTTCTCATAAGGTACTATTAATTTTATTTGACTTTAGATAATGAACAACTTTATATGGATACTTCCCCTTAAGCTTATAACATCTTTAAAGTAAGACATTTAATTAATTTCCTCAATATTTGGGACATCATATTACAATATTCCAGAATTTGTCTGTTGCATAATGCTAGGTTTTACTGAGGAAATAAAAAATTTAGGTAAAGTAGTAATGGAATTCTTCTCCTGGACTTCTTGTTAGATAAGTAATATATACAAGACCTGTTTTGCTTTGGAAAGATTTCTGAGTCATTTAAGTCCCTAAAAAGGGCAACTAAACTTGAATTTGTATAAATTGGCTGTAGTTAAACGACTGAGTAATAATAATGTTAATATTTTCTACAGTGCTTGATGTTATATAATTCAGTACTAACAACTTTTCCTTTATCATTTTCAGTCCTGGCAAAACTTAAGAGGATACAGTTTTATCCTTTCTTTGTTGTTGTGGAAACCAAAATGTAGAAAACTTAGGTTATTTCTCCAAAATCAGTGTTGTGGAATACAGAAGGTGTGGAATTTAGTCATGTGTGGTTGTACATACCAGTAACCCCAGGTACTCTGGAGTCTGAGGCAGGAGCATTACAAGCTTCAGGCCAGCCTGAAAAACTTAGTGATAACCTTTCTCAATTTTTTTAAGGGTTGGAATTGAAACTTGGTGGTAGAGTCCTTGCCTAATGTGTGTGAAGTCCTTAATTCAATCCCTAGTACCATACTCATATGCATAAAAAAAACATGTTGAATTAAAACCCAAGTTTACTTGACTCTGGACTATATTCTTCACATGTATTATTACTGTGCTACCAGGTCTCTACAGCTACCTCCACTCTATGTATCCCATACATTCAACTTAGTCCCTCTTTACCTCCCATTCTGTTTTCAAATTATTAAAGCTTACTGAAGTTAAACAGACTATGTCCTGCTAATACAACTGTATTTTCTCAACATAATCAGTTTGAGGAATATTGTATACATACTATTGGTTAGCAAGTGGTTCTGCTGCAGTGGAGTAAGGGTAGGAGCACCCCCAAGGCCTGGCTGCCCAGCTAATGCTGCATGAGCAATTCCATGCTGAGGTCCAGGAGCAGCAAGAGGAGACTGCATCTTATCCTTATCCCAGGAGGATTCACTTCCACCTGAAAAAAAGTCATATAAATAGTCATTGGACAGTTTTCTTTGAGAATGTTTTTTTAATTAATTTTTATAAAGAAAATAATTAATGCCATTTCATAGAAAATTATTATTAAACATGGTAATTCATTTTATGACAATTTTAAAAAAACTTTCAAAAATCTAAGGATATAAGCTACCTCTGGGAAAACTAAGCCATTTTTACTAATACCATAGGACCACTTTCCTTAATGGTTCTCTCAACAAACTTGAAATAATAATGAATAGCTTTTGGAAGCATTTATATATTGAAGATTATTAAAACACACCATTACCTTTCCATTCCAAGCCTCTAAAATATGTATGCTATATTTTAAAGAAGAACAGTTTCTGTTCACTAAAAAAGAACACACTAATTTATAAGAGTATGATAACATACAAAATATACAGAGTAGGAAACAAACTTACCACTTATTTTTGGTTCAGCCCTCAAGCAATGCTTTTATACATAGCAAGATTCTATACAAAATAGGCTGGATAAAACATGAAACCATGGCTTCCAATTTGAAATTATACTTTGATCACCACACTAGAGAGTGTAGTGAAATGCACACTAGTGCAGACTTCTATATTGCCGTGATCCATAGTGGCATAGCTATTTAATCTGGTACTGAACATACTTTGGGAACAGAGTCATTGCCTAAAATGATATGGCATGGAACCCCAGATTTCCAGGGCTTTCTTTTAAGAAAAATTGAAACAGAGAAATAGAGAGTTAGATTTTAATAAGTATAAAAGATAATATTCTGGCTTTGGGAAACAAGATGTTGTATAGCAGCTCAACCTATTTGCTTGATATGTTTCATTCATTCAGGGTTCAATGGCTCTGCCCCCATAACCCTACTGGGATTGTGATATTAGCAACTCTACCTGAATGATACTGTCCCATATGGTAACTGAAACTATGACCTTGTTATATATGGAGATCAGACCTGGAGCTTTTGGGCCCTCTACAAAATGTTTGCATTTACAGGTTTAAAAATAAAGAATAAGTTGACATATTTTCAACACATTGAACATTGTAATTATTTTCACTTTAGCTCCCTCCCAGATTCTGTTCATATGGATACTCATTTTTACATAGTAAACACTCTGCTACAATAACTTTATGTATCAGAGAGCAAAGGCTACGCTGTATTATGCTGAGTTATTTAATTATAATTTTTAAACAATATACTTTTTCTTTCAGATTTATCACTAGAATAAATCACATTATAACAAAAATATTGAGTTATTTCATTAGAATAAATTAATTAGCTGGAGTGACATTTCTGGTTCCAAAATGACAGATATATTTATATTACATTCATATAAACTGTCTTTAAAGTGTAAACTTTCCAGGGAAATGCTTTCAGGACCAAATGTTATTTCCCCTAGATATTTAAAATTGAGGGCTAGGGTTGTAGCTCAGTGGTAGAGCATGTTCCTAGCACATTTGAGATACTGGGTTGGATTATCAGTGGAAGGAAGGAAGGAAGGCAGGAAGGAAGGAAGGAAGGAAGGAAGGAAGGAAGGAAGGAAGGAAGGAAGGAAGGAAGGAAGGAAGGAAGGAAGGGTGTTGTGTCCATTTTCTCCATTCATTTAATAAAAGATTTAAAATTTATTTAAGCAAATGGCCTGCTAGAAACTCTGCCAGGATTTCCTTTTTTCTTTCAAATATGCATTTTTAAAACTTTATTTTATTTATCTGTTCATGTGGTGCCAAGGATTGAACCCAGTGCCCCACATGTGGTAGGCAAGTGCTCTGCCATTGAGCCACAATCCCAGACCTCTGTCAGGATTTCTTAAACGTTCTATCCATTCATCAACCATTCTTACCCTAGGTGTGGGGATCTTCATCCTCCTCAGAACTCTTTCAGGCTGATTTACAGGCAAAGTTAACCTTTAATCAATTCAAAAGTGGGGGATCTTAACCAGTATTTAACCAGATGAGCTAAGGAAACACCATAATTTTTAGCAATACATGTAAAGATTGAGGGATACCTGGTCCTATGTATATAGACAATCTTTTCCAGTCAAACTGGGAAGAAACAAGTAGCTAATTATTTAATTCCTATGATGAACATTCAGTTGATCTAAATGGAAACTGGTAAGATGGGAAATTTGTTTAAATTTGATAGACTTAAAGAATCCAAAATAATTTTCTTGAACATGTGGAGGTTTCGAATGTTTATTGAGACCCTGTGAAACTTCTAAGATTATACCAACTGTTTTCTCTCTTCATCCTTATGTTTGATATTATAGAGTAACTGCCACAAAGCAGGGAAGTAATTTATGGTTTGGTGCATTTACATAGTTTCCTATTGACAAACTTGAAATTCTAATTAAAATCAATAAGACAGTGTTATGCTGCAACAAAGAAGGATGGTTGGGAAAGAGAAATATCAATAAACAATGAATGTAACCACACTAAAACCCAGAAATTTGTTTTTAGTTACAATGGTATGATAAACATGATTAAAATCAGAAAATACAAAAATTTGAAAGAATAATTGCTAAGCAAAAAATTGAACCACTCCATCATTTTTGCATTTTGTTCAATATACAAATTATCTATTGCAGAACTGCAATTTGTAAAGTGATGAGTAAAACATTGACAAAGCAATATTAATTTAGAAGATACTAAATCATAATGTGTGTTATTAATGTGGTATTAAACTGTCACACAGCAATGGCATGCTGCAACCTTAGAGCTGAGACAATGTCAATATTGATTTTATAAACTAGAAACATTTTAGTCCACATTCAACACATATGGTACATTAGGCATTAGTCTAATGTTTTATACCTCATATATCCCAAATTAACTTGAATAGAAATGTGTTTTAAAACATCATAAAAAGATCCCAAATTGTTTTTGTGTTTTCTTTGATAAGAAATTTGGATGAACTTTTTCTGATATTTCATCATTGTTAACTACTGTTTTAATGATAGAATGAAGGTGATTTCCAGCTGTTTCCATCTATACTAAGTATGGATATAAGATGGTTTTGCACTCTGTAGTAAGCAACTGACAAATGTGGGGGTGTTCTTAATGTTTAGATTAGGTTGTATTAATGTTCTGGACATATTCTGGACACCTGACCTATGATTGTTTACCATTGTTAAGTGTATACAAATTGACCTGTGACAAAATCTGGAATTCTCTTGTGGCCCCTAACATAACATCGTCTCTTTGTCAGATTGAAAGATAATATTAACTGCCTTTACAGATAACCATGTACTTTTACTAATATAATCTACGGGTCTTTTTTTAAACCACTAAGTAGAAGTCTTAGGTATCCACCTTACTTTATCTAGGTACTGTGTACCTACATATGTATCTATCTCCATATCATTTTTTTATTTGCTTTAATTAATCATACATGACAGTAGAATGCATTTTGACACATCATACATAAATGGACTACAACTTCTCACTCTTCTGGTTGTACATTATGTAGAATCACACCAGTTGTGTAATCATATATGCACATAGTGTAATAATATCCAATTCATTCTACTGTCATTCCTACCCCCATATCCCCTCCTCTCCCTATACTCCCCTATGTCTAACCACAAGTACATTTATTCTTCTCTAGCCCCCAATTCCCTTATTGTGAATTAGCATAAATATATCAGAGACAACATTTGGCCTTTGGGTTTTGGGGATGGGCTTATTTTGCCACATGATATTCTCCAGCTCCATCCATTTACCTGCAAACGCCATAATTTCATTCTTCTTTAAGGCTAAGTAATATTCCATTGTGTATATATACCACATGAATGTATATATTCATTCATCTGTTGAAGGATATCTAGGTTGGTTCCATAGCCTGCGCATTGTGAATTGAGCTGCTATAAATATTGATGTGACTGTGTCACTGTAGTATGCTAATTTTAAGTCCTTTGAGTATAAACTGAAGAGTGGGATAACTGGATCAAATAGTGCTTCCATTCCAAAGTTTCTGATGAATCTCAATACTACTTTCCATAATGGTTACACCAATCTGTTGTCCCACAAGAAATGTTTGATTGTACTTTTTTCCCCACATCCTCACCATCACTTATTATTGCTTGTGTTCTTGATAATTGCCATTATGACTGGAGTGAGATGAAATCTTTCCATATGTAGCAAAATGAAATTGAACACCTTTCTCTCACTCTACACAAAACTTAAGGTGAATTAAAGATTTAGGCACTACAACAGAGACCTTGTGCCTAATAGAAGAAAAAGTAGGCCCATCTCTCCATCATGTCAGATTAGGAATGGGCTTTCTTAACAAGACTCCAACCTAGATGCCCTTCAGTGGATGAATGGATAAAAAAAAATGTGGCATATATAAACAATGGAATTTTACTCAACAATAAAAGAGAATAAAATCGTGGCATTTGCAGGTAAATGGATGTAGTTGGAGAAGATAATGCTAAGTGAAGTTAGCCAATCACCCCCCAAAAAACAAATGCCAAATGTTTTCTCTGATATAAGGAGGCTGACTCATAGGTAGGGAGGTAGAGCATGGGAGGAATTGATAAATTTCTTAAAGGGAAGAAGGGTAGGAGGGAAAGGGATGGGGCAGGGGATTAGCAAGGATGGTGGAATGAGATATCATTATACAAAGTACATGTATGAATACTCAAATTGGGTGTCAACATTCTTTATATACAGAGATATGAAAAATTGTGGTATATATGTGTAATAAGAATTGTAATGTAAAAAAGTAAATGTGTAAAGAGATGAATTGGTGTGAACATACTTTATATACAAAGATATGAAAAATTGTGCTCTATATGTGTTATAAGAATTGTAATGCATTCCACTGTCGTGTATTTAAAAAAATAAAATCAATAAAAAATATGGCAGCTTCAGTTTTAAAACCCAGATAAATTTTATCCTCTGTCTTTACAAGATAAAACCAAATAAAAACAAACCAACAACCTTTAAAAAAAACTCTTAAAGCACAAGAATTAAAATAAAGAATCAATA